TGGACCATAGAGTAATTCTGAATATTTCACACAGTTGGAGACTCTAAACTTTCAAATACGGAACAGAATTCACTGGAAAATCAACGGTTCTCCCAGAAGGCAGCAGAGCTTAGTGGTAAAGAGCAAGCAGGCTCAGATAACACCTGAGAATGCTCCTCAACGCTCTCAGCCTTAGCTGCCTCACCTATGACGCGCAACACGAGCAGAATTTGCCCCATCCTTTGTTGGGAGGGTTAAATAAATGGAATCAGATGTGTGAGGCAATCCGCACAGGACGTGGCCCAGGACGTGAGCCCAGCTAATTTAAGGCACGCCTATGACTGTTGTTAAAGGTAACTGAACAATAAGTTTAAACTTCAAAATAAAAACAAAACAACTGAGATCCTATGATAAATATCTACACTCCTTCACCCAGGGTACTGAAGATATTTAAAGCAGGGCACTCTTTTTAGGAAGAACTAAGTGATTATTCGGCATAATATGGATGATTCTGAAAGATTTAGAAATAACCAAGCAAGGAGAAGTTGGCAAGTCATCAGTCTTGATCTGCTGCTGATCACGGCCTGAAGAAGAAACACAAAAGGGTGCTGTTTTCACCAGAATTATGAGTGAACGGATACATGTGATGTGGCCACCACCACGCTCAGGCAAGCCCAGGAAAAGTGGCTTGTTCTGCCCAAGCTTTCCCTGAGTTCCCTGTGGTCGCCAGCTTCTTCATGGCCTGGGCTCTGCAGTGCGCAGGCGCTATCTGCTTGAACTTGGGGGGGTGAGGACAGGCGGCGAGTGTGGCCTTGCAGGGCGCGGGGTGGCCATCAATGCCCAGCAAGCGGGGAGTCATGGGTCCAGGCATCCTGGGAAGGGCTCCCTTCCATCTCCTCGACACCCCGGCAGGCTGCCCTCACTGCACCTCCCCGCTCACGCCCTAACTAGTATTATAGTTTTTAAATCACTGGTGTGTACAATTACCACTCCTGGGATTATGGTAAGGAGGTCTGGGCTGGGACCTAGACTCTATTTTTTTATTTTTATTTTTTTTGCGGTACGTGGGCCTCTCACCGTTGCGGCCTCTCCCGTTGTGGAGCACGGGCTCCGGACGCGCAGGCTCAGCGGCCATGGCTCACGGGCCCAGCCGCTCCGCGGCGTGTGGGATCTTCCCGGACCGGGGCACGAACCCGTGTCCCCTGCATCGGCAGGCGGACTCCCAACCACTGCGCCACCAGGGAAGCCCCTAGACTCTATTTTAACGCACCTTCGATGGTCAGCTCTGACATCACAGGACGATCACCCGTCAACCCCCTGACCCCCCATCCCTCAACAGCAGCACACTTTTTTATCTGCTCTGTGTCATCTTCTGTAAACTTCTGGAAGATAACAGCTTGAGAAACTTTGCCAGCATTCTGCTGTGGGTTAGGCAAATGGCACAGGTTCAATGAAAAAGTTTTGAATACAAGTTTCTAAAAGTCAACAGCTTTCCACTGATCTTGAAAAATCTACAGTCTACCTAGTACACCAGGATGGGAGGCGTGAATTGTGATTTTTGGGGTGCACATTCCCTAGTGAAATGCAACGCCTTCTATCTCTGGCAGGCTCCCTCGTTTGACACAAGCAGTTAGCAGGTATGAGTGCACAACCCCCGCGTGAACCACCAGAGCCAAAGGTGGGCAGGTGAGGTGAGCTCACAGCGCTGGCCGGCTGTCAATTTCAAGTCAAGGCTGGGTGGCTGAGGGCAGCTGAGGAATCTAACGAACAAAGACAGCAAAATGGGCCGTGTTCCCACAGCCTCAGCAATTACTGCTCAACAGCAAGTTTCCTAATAAAACTTTAAAGTGTTTCCACATGAGATCCTATGGTGACCTGGTCTAGTGGGTCGAATGGTGGCCTCCAACAGATCTGTCCATGTACTAACCCCGGGAACCTGTGAACGTGGCCTGATTTGGATAAACAGTCTTTGCAGATGTAGTTACATTAGGGATCCTAACATGAAGAGATCATCCTAGATTATCCTAAATCCAGTGAAGAGTGTCATAAGAGACAAGAGAACACAAAGAGAAGAGGAGAGGAGGCAGAGTCTGGAGTTCCACAGCCACAAGCCAAGGAGGGTCTGGAGCCGCCAGAAGGTGCAAGACCAAGAAAGGTTCTCCCCTAGAGCCTTCAGAGGGAGTGTGGTTGTGCTGATAACTTGACTGTGGACTGCTGGCCTCCAGAATGGTGGGAGAATACATTTCTGTGGTTTTAAGCCATCCAGTTTATGGTCATTTGTTACTGCGGCCCTAGGAAACTAATAACCTTGGTCTTTACGTCCCTATAGTGAATTCTTTCTGTACTTCATTCTTACCACTCACATTGCCACCGACAAGTAACTGACACCAATGAGATAAACAAGCATGTGTAGAACTTTTCTAAATATTTCCTTCTGGTAAAAGAACAGTACCTATGCATTAAGAAGATTTAGAACTGCAGGCTATGGTAAAGTGACACCATTTCTGGATGCCATTAAGCTGGATTATTGGTTGATTTGAAAGCTCTGTCACTTTGTGCCTCACCAAGCTGCAAGATTAAACTGGTAGTTCCAGCATGTTCGGTGTCTTGTTTTCGTTGTTGCTGTTAAAAATCTTCACCACATCAACGTAAGATCTCACCCGCGGCATTTCACTGTGCAGAGGTGCTAAAAGCTATTTAGCGGAGGGGCTGTACTGCGGTTTCTGTCTCAACATCCTTGCTGACCCTCGCGTGCTTGTGCAGTGGTGTCTGTGGGGAAGTCCCAGCATCTCAGGGCTGAGTTCTCGACAGCTTCGCCACCATCCTCCAGAGAAGCCCCACCAACTTGCCTTCTGTTTTCCTCACCACCTGCCCATGAAGCATGAGAATCTTGCTTTTAAAAATGCACGTCCAGGGCTTCACTGGTGGCACAGTGGTTAAGAATCCGCCTGCCAGTGCAGGGGACACGGGTTCGAGCCCTGGTCCAGGAAGATCCCACACACCGCAGAGCAACTAAGCCCGTGTGCCACAACTACTGAGCCTGCGCTCTAGAGCCCGTGAGCCACAACTACTGAGCCCGTGTGCCACGACTACTGAAGCCCGCACGCCTAGAGCCCATGCTCCGCAACAAGAGAAGCCACCGTGGTGAGAAGCCCGCGCACCACAACGAAGAGTCGCACCCGCTCGCCACAACTAGAGAAAGCCCTCGCACAGCAACGAAGACCCAACACAGACAAAAATAAATAAAATAAAAAATAAATAAATTGAAAAAAAAAATGCACGTCCCGTCAAATGGAGCTCAGGCCTTCCCTGACAAAGCCAGTGTTCTTCCAAAGGGAAGCAAAGGCCTAGTCAGGGCTCAAGACTTCCATCAGCAGTTTGGAACCCGGATGGCCTCACTTCTGTCCCTTCTCAAGCACCTACCTCCCCACTTGACTTAACGTAATGGAGCCTCCGCAGTCAGTTAGGTTCCTTTGATCCCTGAGCTGTTTCTAGGGACAGTGGCGGGCTATAGGCACTTGTCCATGACTGGGGGCCGGTGGTCACCCAGCCTCCTAAATCACCCCCTTTCTTTAACTCTTGCCCCATGTGGTCTATTCTCCACAAAGCAGCCAGAGTGAAAATAGAAGTTAATATAGTAAAACGTAAGTCAAACTGAGCACTGCCCTGCTCTGCGCCCTCCAACAGCTTCCCAGCTCATGCAGAGTAAACTCCAAAACCCTCGCCGACAATGTCCCCATGCTTGGGCCCTTGGCTGTCCTCCAACTTCAAGTTCTGCCAGCATATACTGACTCCAGCCTGGGGCCCCTGGAAACTCCTTGAACAATGAGGAAGACCAGGCCCAGGTGACCAGGGAGACCAGTGCCCAGGGTGAGGTGCTGAGGGCCTGGACGGGGCAGCAATGGGAATGGACAGGTGCTTTCTGCTTCCACCTGCCCCTGGAAAGGCTCACGCCACCTGCACCCACCACCTTTTTCCTTCCCAAGTCACTGTCCTCGCTTCGATTGTTCAGCATCCCAGCTCCAACACTGACCTGCCCAATCTGAGGAGATTTCAGGGTCCACGTAGCCGACCCAGTCAACCACCAGCTTCAAAATTCCAGGAGCTCCTTTTAATATCAACGGCCTTCACTCCTACGTGCTAGCCATCTGTCACGGGGCTTCGGTCTGAACTGGCCTCATCCTGTACCATTGCTGCTCCCTTCAGACACCTTACCCTGCGGCATCCCACCTGCTCACCCATGTGTTCTCTGATCAAGGCTCCACGAGACACCTGGGTCCTCGACGCCGCCGTCCTCTCCCAGCCAGTAGCCAGCTCCCCTGACTCACACCCTTCCCTACCTAGCTGGGCGTTCCCGGAGCATCGGGGTCGTCGGGGAGTTCAGATTATGGCCCCTCACAGACGTGTGACTCCACAGGCCTCTTGGTGCTTTGACTGACCACTCAGCCCACCCGGAAACACCCCTGCCTCCTGGTTTCCGTGGCACTGCTTTCTCCTGGTTCTCCTCAAGCCTCCCTGGCTGTTCACTTTCTGTCCTTCTCAGGGGCCCGTCTTCCTTCTCCTGCGCCTGACTTGCTGGCTCGGCCCCGCCCTCCCTCCCTCTCCACCCTCTGCCTCTCTCAGCGGGCGACCTCACCTGCTCGGATGGCTTCGGCCATCACCTGTGTGCTGACGACTGACAAAGATGCAGCAGTCTTCCCTTCTCACGGATGAGGCACGAGAAAACAAAGACGCTGGACGGGCAGACGATTGCTACTAAGGACGGGCTTACCCTCGGATGTTACGAAGGCTCTGGAGTGTGCCTTTTAGTTATACTCTAACCGCCTTCTGTCCAGCAGCGGGTCTGTTTAGGATAGTAACTAGGGCCGCTGGAAGCAAGCTGGCTGACACATATCTTCTGATAAACATAGTATCATAACAGACCAAACCAAACCCTTATGTGTTACTGCAAATGCTAAGTCCATCAATGGTCCATCTCTCCTTTCTATTTCGGGGTCCCGTCCCCGTCACACGGTACTTACTCCCAAGTACTCCGTGGTCAGAAGCTTCTCGCCTGAGAGCTCTCCAAGCTGGGGCTGGATCAGTTCATCTTTGTCCAGATCGGCTTCCATAGTGTCATGGTCCTCCTGTTTCAAAGGAGGAGACACGGGGTGAGTGCTCTGGACCCCTCCCTCGCTGCAAGTTCCCAGAGGGCGCCTCCCCAAGTGGGCGCCTCATGAAATGGGAAGACCTTAGCCCAACAGCAGCGGCTCATGGGTTTGCATTTCAAAGGTTCTCCAGGGCCGTCTGCCCTCCGCTCACAACCTCCGCGAAGATGAAAGGGAAAATGCCAACCTACGTCTTTAGGAAGCTGGGCGCCTAATGAACACTTCCACGGCCACAGGTGGGAAGAGGTTCACCCAAGATGCTGTTGAATGGTCTCTCCTAGTTACAGTTCTCAGGATGTTTTTCTCTGTGAGGTCAAGGTGCCATGTAAACAGCCAAATCAGCCAGTCTACAAATAACTACTAAGCACCTCCACATGCGCAGGCCTTACAGAGGATACAAAACTGTATATTATAGGCTTGCTCTTCTTCCGCAGTTTACGGTCAATAAGAAGACTCAGCAAAAAGAGAAAAACTGTTTAGCTTCTGGGAAGATGGAGTGGACATATTTTTCCCTGTTCCTCCCACTAAGTACAACCAAAAACACTGGACATTACGTACAAAATAAATATGAGACCCTGAGAGGTGGAGAGGAGGGGGCAGACTGGCTGGGTATCCTGAAACACAAGGAATAAAAGGTGGTGAGTCCCCTGGGTTTACTTTTTGCCTTAGAGATTCCCCACTTGGCGCTGAAGAAGCCAGCAACCCGGAAACGAGCATGGTGAAGACAAAAAAAAGTCCCCCAAAGCCTACTCCGTCTAGCCAAAGAACAAGGAAACGGGGAGCCCAGCATGATGGAACTTTTAGACACTAACCAAACACCGGAGCAAACACTGTCATCCCACCCACAACCACACCAGCAAGGGCGTCAGGGCGCTGAGACTTCTGCCCTTACCAGGCTGTGACGAGGCACCCCAGTAACCCCCACCGGGGTGATATCAGAGAGGGACAAGTAGGGAGGGGGAGTTTTGTCCTTGCTGGGTGGTAATGAAGCTCCCCTACCCGGAGGGGAGAGTAGAGACCAGGTGGAGAGGCTGGACTTCCACCCCGACTCTGCAGTAATGAGATGTCCCTGCCCCGCAACCAGGGACGGTGTCAGAGGAGGCCTGGTGGAGACTCAAGACGTTCACCACTGCCACGTTTCACCATGTTCCTGTGGTGTCGGGGAGGCCACGTGGGGGGCAGTAACAAGGCATTCCTACCACCTCTTCCAGTCAGGGAGGTGTTAGTGGCGGCCCAGCAGGGATGGAGAACTCTCACCCCTGTCCTGCAGTAACAAGGAGTCTCCTCCCCCGCTCCCCGGGGTGTCAACAGAGGCCAACTGCAGAACCTGGACTTCTACCCACACCTAACAGTAATGAGGAGAAGCCCCCGCTCCTCTGCCACAGCAGGGTCAGAAGAAGCCAGGTAAAAGAGAAGGTTTAAAATAAGACAAAAGTTTCATAACATAGTATCCAAAATATCTGGGTTTAAATAAAAAATCATTCATCATACCAGGCACCAGCGTGCTCTCAAACTGAATTAAGAGACAATCAAGAGATGCCAACATCAAGATACAGAGATGCTAGAATTGTCTGAAAAAATTTTAAAGCGACCATCATAAAATGGCTTCAGTGAGCAATCACAAACATTCTTGAAACAAATGAAAAAAACAGGAAGTCTCAAGAACATAGAAAAGTAAACATAAAGCAAACAAAAGGAAGGCAATAATAAAGAGAAGAGCAGATATCGATGAAAAGGAAAACAACAGAGAAAACTGGTAAAACTAAAAGCTGATTCTTTGAAAAGATTAATGAAATTGTCAAACCTGTAGCAAGACTGGCAAAGAAAAAGAAGACACAAATTACTGATATCAGGAATGAAACAGGAGATATCACTACAGACCTGCAGACATCAAAAGGATAATAGGCCCATACCAAGTTAATCATCACGCTTTCGCCACCTATATACTTCTAAATTTCTTTTCTACTTGCCACTGTCTTCTCTTAGGCCCTTGTCACTTTTTGTTCTTTTTCACTGTTTGAAAAGATATATTAGTTCAATTTTTTTGTAACAAATAATGCACAATTAAATTGTGCATATAATGCATGAGAGCTAACTTGGTGGGACTTCCACTGGCCAAATGGGGACAATGTGAGCATGAAAATAAATGTGGATATTAATGGATTATCAGGTAGAAATCCACAGAGGTAGAGTTCACACTTATATAAATAAAAGATTTTTAAAAAATGAAAAATAAAAAGGATAATAGGGATTACTATGAGCAACCGTACATAAATTTGACAACTTAGATAAAAAACACAAAGCCTCTCAGATGACTTGAATAATCCTATAATTATCAAGAAAATTGAATTCCTAATTTAAAAATTCCCCCAAAGACTTCTCCAGGCCCACATGGTTTCACTGGAGAATTCTACCAAACTTTTTAAAAAGTTAACACCAATTCTACACAATGTTCTCCAAAAACGGAAGAGGAAGAAATAATTCCTAATTCATTTTATGAAGCTGGTATTACCCTGGTACCGAAACCAGACAATGATAGATAGTACTTTTATAAAAAGAGTACAGACAAATATCCATCATAAATAAAGATGCAAAAGTCCTTAACAACCAAGTTAAAGGAAAATGAAAAAAAATCCTTAACAAAATATAGGCAAATAGAATAGACCAATAGATCAATATGCTAAAAAAAATTATTATACAATGACCAAGTGGGGTTTGTTCTAGTGATGCAAGTCTGGTTCAGTATTTAAAATTTAATCATTGTAATCCACAAGATTAGCAGGCTTACGAAGAAAAAAAAATTACATGATTATATTAATGGATGAAGAAAAAGCATGGCAAAATTCAATATCCATTCATGACCAAAAACTCAGAAGAATAGGAATGGGGGGTACTTGATAAAGAACATCTATAGAAAACCTGCATTTAACATTATACTTAATGGTGAAAGACTGGATGCCTTCCCCCTAAGACTGGGAACAAGGGAAGGATTTCTACTCTCACCATTCTTAGTGTTATAAGTTCTAGACAGAGCAAGAAGGCAAAAAAGGAAATAGGAAGCGTACAGATCAGAAAGGAAGAAATAGAATTGTCTTCATTTGCAGATGACATGATTGTCTATGTAGAAAATCCTAAGGAATTGACCTCCCCAAACTCAAAGAACTAATAAGTGAGTTCAGCAAGGTCACAGGATATAAGATAAACATACAGAAATCAATTTCTACATACTAGTCTTAAATTAAGACTCTGATTAAAAATACAATATAATTTACAATTGCTTATACACACACACACACAAAAATAAAATAAGAAATACTTAGGTGTAAATCTAACAAAACATGTATAGGACTTGTATGCTGAGAACTACAAAACACTAAAGAAAGAAATCAAAGGAGGTCTAAATAAATGGAAAGACATTAACTTGTTCATGAATTAGAAACTCAACATAGTTAAAATGTCAATTCTCCCCAAGTTGATATACAAGTTTAATGTAATTTCTATAAAAATCCCAGCAAGCTTTTTCTGTAGATGGGTACAAGACTACTCTAAAATTTATACGGAAGGGGCAAAGGAACTAGAATAGCTAAGACAATTTTGAAAAAGAAGAATAAAGTGGGAGGAATCAGTCAGTCCACCTGATTTCAGGACTTATTATTGTAGGCAAAGACTGTCGTCTGCCATTTCAGCAAACAAAGGATGCTGTGGCCATAAAGTCATCAGCCACTGCAGCCACCCCTGCTGGTGCACCCTGAGGGGAACTCAGGATGGAAAAAAACAAGGTACTGGCCCTAGATAGTTAAGATGAATATCAAAACGGTAATTTCAATGAGCCCAGGCTCTTGCATCTTCCCATACACTGAAAAGCACTAAAATCGTTAACTTGAGATGTCCGTTTTGTGTGTGTGTGTGTGATTCGTAGTAATCTTTTGATGTTCAACTACATTCTCCTCCCCAGCAAAAGCTCCTATTATATCCAGTGCCTCCCTTACCTCTTTGGAACAGTCCCTCAGAGCTGTCTGAGAGGCTGTCTCCCAGGCTACAGTCCTCAGTAAAGCCCCTGAATAAAACATAACTCTCAACTTTTAGGTTGTGCACTTTTTTCCCAGTTGACATTATATAGCTACCAGAATCAAGACTATGTGGTATTGGCAGAGGGAGAGAGATATAGATCAACTGGACAAAACAGAGAACCTCCAACAGACCTACACAAATACGCCCAACTGATTTTCGACAAAGGTGCAAAAAGTATTTCAACAGAGGAAGGACAGTCTTTTCAACAAGTGGTGCTGCCCCAAGATTCAATAATGAAAATTTTGAATTATTGACTAGATTGCTGCAAACTGGAACAGATCTCTTGGTGTGAAAAAGTAAATTATCACCGGGGAAACTTTTAAAATCTAAAATTATCATAAAATATCTTAATACTAGAGAAGGTAAAATATTCTATACGGGAGATAGTAGAGCACATAGGCTAGAAACATGGGCTCTGATGGTCATCTGCCATTGGGCTTTGTACGGTTTATTCCATCTACCTTTCAGTTTCCTTATCTGTAAAATCATGGTAATAATAGAATCTAACTCATAGGACACTTCTGAAAACTGTACATTAGAAAAGTGCCAGATACACTGTAAATGACTAATAAATGCCAACCATTGTTATTAAAAACAAACAAACAAACAAACAAACAAAAACAAGTGGTGCTGGAGCAACTGGACATGCATGGGAAAAAAAAAAAGAACCTTACTTTAATTCTCACACCTTATATAAAAATTAACTTAGAATGGACCATGGACTTAAATGTAAAGCTCTCAAATTGTTAGAATAGGAGAAAATCTCCAGGACCCATGGCAAGGCAAAGCGTTCTTATACTTGATACCAGGAGTACAGTCCATAAAAAGGAAAATTTGATAAATCAGATTTTTATTGAAAATTTAAAAATTTTGCTGTGTAAAAGACCCTGTTAAGAGGACAAAAAGAA